CGTGACACCCGAGGCTTCAAAGCCGCCATCACCAGATTCGACCGTTGTAGCAGGCTCGCCCACGTCATCTGCCTCCTCCACTGTTCCGTCGAGTTCTGCTGAAGAAGAGGAAGAACTCACAAAATCCGCACTTATCACGCAGAATTCGCTAGCTCTGGAAGCTCAGCTTGAGGACCGTCCTCTCGCAAGGAAACAGGAAGAGCTTCAAAATACAGAGCAGGAAGAGGTCCCTCGTGGCGAATCGCCACCGAGCGAGAGAACCACTCCCGAGGCTTTGGCCGAAGAACAACCAGAAGATGGATCTGCAAAGCAGATAAAGCCAGTTCGCAAAGCTTTACTGAGGAATGATGACTATGAACTCCAGAGGGTACACCAGGTACATTTTATGTCCCATTGGCACGCTACTTGATAATTGATAGCATCGCCAGTTGTTGTCGGAAGTGCACCAACGTTTCTACAATAATTATGACGCTAGCCAGTGTAACCAGAGCTCCGGTAATCGGTCGAGAAGAGGTGATTTCATATCTTACGATGTCAAGGTGATGCGCTTCCCTTCCATGACCATATATTGGTCTCATCTTCATCGTCCAGGATATTATACCCCGTCTACGCATGCGTACCTTAGAGGGCGTCCATATCTTGTTTTCGAGTGTCATTCCGCTTGATACTGACCCTCAGAGTACTGAGATATGGCGCATGGCATATGCTTTTGGTGCACAGTGTCATACTGAATTGTCTAGCCAAGTTACGCATGTCGTCGCCGCCAAGGTGTGTAGGCAGCTCTGTTCCTGCAAGTGGACAACCTCTTACCTTGACTCGTAGCGGGGAACCGCCAAGGTGGACGCGGCACGGCGGCGTGGTGGAGTCCAGATCGTGTGGCTGAAGTGGTTTACTGACTCCATAGCACTGTGGCGGCGTCAGGACGAGACACCATATTTACTGGATGAACCGTCAGTTCCTGAAGCTGCTAGTTCAAGTCCCATTGCGGATTCCAATCAGAATTCATCTGATCCAGAACCAGATACGGACGATTGGGATCCAGACGAAGCGATCGAGGAAGCGCCGGAGCCGCTTGTCTTGGATGATGTCGACTGGGATGCTATACGAGACGAGGTGGATGCTGCGATGGAGGAGAGTGACGGTGATGATGACCAGAGCGTTAAGAGCGCAGCAACCAACGGGGAATTCTCGGAGAGCGATGTGTCCATCACTGACGAGAGTGTGGCCAGGTATGTGGTCGGCTCTTGTGCATGGCTGTTCCTTAAGTGACAAAATCGGTGCAGTACCCAATCAACGCCCCGCTTGAAGCGCAAGCGGTTACGAAGTCTGACACCTTCCGAAATCAGGGGTCTCAGCAACACTGACGCAGACAACCTACGCTCGCCGCTTGCCAAACGGAAGAAGATCGCGATGGCGCGGTCTGGATCTTCAAAACTGAGGGAAGCGATCCATGCGGAGGAGCTCGAAGAGAAGCGTTCGGTAACCAATGGTTCAAGTAGGCACGCCAGCCCTGCTGCTGCTCCTCTACCAGTGGAAGCAATAAGAGAGGAGGATGAGGGGGATGGCGAAGAAGACGACTTCGACTTCGACGACGATTTCTTAGCCCGCGACCTCGAAGAGGAGTTGGGATAGTCACTCTCGCTCGAGTCTCGTCTGACGATTAGCGTAAGATCGATTGTATTCCATCAAGATACGGACCGGGACGAACTGTACCCTATCCTGTTGTATCATACCTGCTCTCTTTCCTGCATGCTGTGGAACATCATATATTATTATCGCTGGGATGTTATCAATAGATGTTTTTGTTTTTCCTGTTCGAGTTCTCGGTATGCATCTGCGCGGCTCCTAGTAGGTCAAGGACTGCTCGGCTGGCTTGCTTGCTCCGGCTCGCAGCAATACAACTTCCATAGCTTCTTGAGCTTTCTGCCAGTAGCGTCGCGGAATATGTCGTCGGTGTATTCCTTGCTCTTCATGGCCTCATTGAGCTCCCGTATGGTGCCAGCGCCATAACGCTCTTCAACCCATTCAAGGAAGTAAGCTGTATGCTGGTATCCTGCGTCCCACTTGTCACCAGGTTCACGTTTCCAGTGAGGAGGAGCGAGATCGGCGTGCAGCCGCACCCAGTCTACCAGGAGTTGTTACTATAAGGCGGTTCCTGGGAGACAGCGGACGAACCTGCTACACCTTCTATCATTCCTCCGGGACATTTACCCTTGCCATTATACTGGAAGCAGTGGACCATCTCGTGCGTAAGGACGCCCATGATCTCATGCCTGGCGCGGTCGGCAGAGTTGACGATATGGTCTAACGAGAAGTGTATCTGCTTGACCGTATCACTCCCGAAGGTGTACGCGACACCCGGCATTGGTTTGAGCACCAAGAGGACAGTCTCGACACTAGTATTCGACCAGCATAAGATCACGTCTCTGGGCCAATTGAGTGCGATGCTTACTTGCGGGGAACGGTCTCGGGGGTGTATAACCACTCGAATACGGACAGGGCGGCTTTTCTGAGCGCTTGGGTGGGCTTAACAGCGTCGAAGAAGAGTGCCGCGCCGGGATGCCCCAAGTCTTCGACCTCGAGCTTAAACTTCGGTATAGGCCATTGTGGCGGCGGGAGCGGAGCCATGATTTCCTAGCGAAGATGGTAGTGGCATTCCTTTGGTAGCCACAAGGTTATACATGTGTACGGACAGCCAGCAGGTGGTGAAGAGAACTCAAGCAACGTAAAGGGAAGAACACTAATAGTACAGGGTAATGCTGATATAGTGATACAATGTAGATGCATATTCCATCCTCCATCCTTCTTAATCCTGTAGCATAGACGAGCCCTACGAGCGGGTGGTACCTGCTGCAGCCTCCAATCTCAACACCTCCGCTCTCAATGCATTCGTCCCGTCCTCCAAGAACTTGCAGTACTCCACAGCGCGGAACAGAACACCGCTCTTCCCCTGGCTCCGACCTTTAGCCCTACTGCCACTCCCTTTCGGACGGCCTCGCGTAGGCATGCCAATCGTCACTGAGCTTCCCTCCGGCGCGAGCAATGCAATGAGTTGCGCGTAACCGTCCCGTATCGCGTTTCGCCGCTTCTGCTCCGACATGATATGATTGAGTCTCTTCTGTGGTGAAGAGAGGAGCGTCTTGGCACGCAAATTCGCCTGAGCGTCGTTGGTGCTCTGTGGTGATGTCGCAGATGCAGGTGGTGTCACTGATTGTGACGAGGATCTGCGCGATGGCCCATCTCTACCGTTGAAGTGATACGGTTCGGATGCATGGTGATGCGCAGGTTCGTTTGAAACCTGCCCACCGTAGGGGGGCTGGGACGTGGAGGGCTGGTTCGGGTATGGTGGTTCTAGGAATTCCGCGAATCCTGGCCCTGCAGCGTTATTTGCCGTGGCATTATCCGTGAAAAGCGCATCCGTTCCTTCAAGGTCGAAGTTAAAGTTATCAAGAAAGCCAAAGAGGTCTGTCGTCTCCGACGGGGAGAACAGACCCGCAGAGGGCGGCAACGGAGGAGGTGGGGGAAAGAGGTTTGGAAGACCTGGATCGAACGAAAAGTCGAAGTCGGCAAAGGGAGGCTGAGAGTGAGCCATGTTATTACCGGGAGCGCATGCAAGCAAGTGAGCAGGACGGTATAGGGGCCGGTCAAGCCACGGTCCCGGATTAACCGGTGCTGCCGGAGTCGGGGTCGGAGTGTAAAATCCGGACATAACCGAGAACGGTCTCGGCTACGCGGCCGGGGCCTCTAGGGAAGAACACCTCCGAAGAAACGCTCGCTTTCGTCTTTTCCTCCGGACCTTGACCGTCCTCCGCCACGAATGTCGGCCCTCAGCGAATCCCCGGCCCAGGACGGGGCTCCTCCGTCGATCGATACTCATCAACTCCAGCAACAAAACGGCGACTCTCAACAAAACCTCCAATCCTCTAACTCTGCAAATGATGCTAGCCGTAAACGTCAGCTATCATAGCTTCTGTCTTGCTACCAGCTACTCACCGTCTTGCCCGTCGAGCAGCCAAGGCGCCGTCCGTAAGGCGTGCCTGCCTCGCGTGCCATCAGGGTAAGACAAGATGTAGTGAAGTACTTCCGTGTCAGGTATCCGCGTTTGCAGGCAATGTTGTCTGTACTGTGCTGACTGTCTTGCAGAGCTGTCTGAAACGTGGCCTGGGGGCTACGTGTGCCTACCCCGATCCCGACCACCAAGAACAACAGCAAGGTTGGTATATATATATATAAATGTATTAACTTATTGTCGTGCTGATTGTATATATGGATCGCAAATTCTCAGCACCTCCCGTACCCCCTACCTTCGCCCCCATGGGCTATCCCATGCAACCACCCAACTTTGCTCAACAGCAGTACTACGACTATAACGGCACCCTCACCGGTGCTTCCACATCCACTTTCCGTCCTAGCAAGCGACCGCGTCCACTGACGGAGGAGGAAGCAGCAGCAATCACCCGAAATTTCAGTCGCGGGGACTTCTATGTCGGCAACAGTGCACCAGTGCGCATTGACCCTCGTCTGCCGGTCAGGCTGACTTTGGGAGAGGGGGACCATGTACACTTTACGGTCGGCGAGTCCATGGTTTATAACAACACTAGCATGTGATTTGACTGCTCGCTTTCTACTTGTTTTCTTGTTCTTCGATGTCTGGCGCTCGAGGCTTGTTCTTGCGATGTATGATTAGGTCGCTGTGCGCATGCGCATATGTTATTGTATCTTGAATCTGCTCCTCCATCTACATACTGTTTGCAGTGAATTGCTATTTCCCTCCAGGACCTGAGGCCTGAAGAGCGCACGTATGTCTGCTCGCCACCCGGCCATTAGGCGTCTACGAGGTTTTGGGCCGACGCCATGCCCGGATACTATCGGTAGAAAGTGCAAGATTCCGGCTATTAAAAATGACGGAGACACGGTGGTGCGGAAGGCGCAGAAAACCACGACTTCGGATCAAATACCATGCTTGTGTATCTAATATATTGAACACGCACAGTTGACATGGCGAGATGGCCGAGCGGTCTAAGGCGTTAGACTAAGGTTACCTGCTCTGAGCAGGATTTCATCTAATCTCTTCGGGGGCGTGGGTTCGAATCCCACTCTCGTCAACCTTTTGCAGAATTCGAAGGGGCGAGGGGCCTAAATTTCACTCGCTCATTTTTTCCCTATCCACGACCAATTCTTTCTTTTCCTGCGCGGTTAGTCCAACCTGACTACTACGCGGTACCAGGATAATCCAGGGCACGTCCAGTGTAGCATATGCAAGAGCGAGTGCACAGATGGCATAGATACGCAGCGATTAATCATCTGAGAACATGATCTTCAAGTTCTCAAGGCTATCTGGGTCTTTCTCTCCCGACCCACGGAATGCCTCCTTCACGAGGGCAGTCTTGCGTTTCTGTATCTGCAGGATACGTCCCTCGATAGTGTTGTCCACCTATCGTGCATTAGCAGGGTTATAACAACGAATAGCGAGAGTATTACGCGCACAATGAAGTGTGTCACATAGACTGTCTTGTCTTGCCCGATCCTGTGTACTCTGTCTACGGCTGGGATTAGAATGAGATGAGTAAACAGTTCCCATCATCGTAACTCATACGGTCACCTTGGCTTTCCGTGGCGGCGTTCCACCAGCAATCCATCTGTCTCGATCTGTTACGAACGCAATTCATGACAGCCGGGGAGCCTCACTCACCATAAAAACATGATTGGCGTTCGTAAGCTATGAAAGTCAGCATAATCCGAGAGCAACAGACCACTGCAACATACATTCAAGCCTACACCTCCGGCCTTCAAGGATACTATCAGGACCTTGGGGCTTCGGGAGGGAGCCTTGAATTCTGCGATAGCTTCGTTCCTCTTCTTCACGTTCATTGAGCCATCGAATCTGTACCATGTAAAGTGCTCTCTTTGCAGAGCCTTTCCTATAAGATCCAAGAAGCTAGTGAACTGCGAGAAGACAACAGCGCGGAAGCAAGGATCCTGATCCCGCAGGCGTTCTGGGACAACATTTGAGTTTTTGTAACGAATAAAGGACAGCACCCCTACTTAGGTTCCTTAGCAGGGCTTCGAGCTTGGTGGAGGACCGGAAGTTATTCTTCCTCAACGTGACCTCGGTAGACTTCGTTTCGTCTCCACGATCAGGGCCTGTATCCTCGCTTGTCACGCGAATAACTTCGAGCAGGTTGGATTCCTGATGAGAGTCAGAGATGCAAACTCAAAATCAGGATCTTCTACTCGCCTGGAACGGACCTTGCGAGCATGTGGGGCATGCCACCTCCTTGCTTTTCTCTTCACAAGCGGCTATGTAGGCAACGATACAGTCTTTGCAGCTAGAATATCGTCAATGCCGGCCTAAGTCAGTGGACAGGTTGTGCGTACCATTGATGAAGGCATCCAGGGATGATCATAGGTGTATCCATCACATCCAAACATAGTGGACATTCAACCTGGTCACTCTTGTCCAAATTACTGAGCACAGTCTTGGCGAAGGCATCGCTATCCTCGATCCCTTCGGCGAATTCCTTGATCATAGAGTTGATATCGACTTGATCGTCTACCTCTACTGATCCATCTCTCTCGGCAGGAAGTATCAGGCTTGGATGTAGGACGGCCCGACGTAATCTGGAGAACGTTCGTGAGCTACAACCATACAAACAAGGGATCCAACGAGCCTCATTAGCATTGCCAAGATGTGAGTGTAGTTCTTGCTCAGTAGGCCGCGTGCCTTCAGGTCTTCGAAATTCCTCTTAGCGGACGTGTAGACGGAATCATAAATCTTTCTCTCCGCGGCAGTGAATTCGAGCTTGTCTATTGTGACCTGCAAAGAAGGCACTCGTAAGAAGACGAAAGCTGGAGATGCGAAGCTAAGCATACTTGTTTCGGCAGAAGATCCACGATGCGCTTGCCGTCCGTGTCGAGCATATTTTTCTCCCTACGGAGCAGTATACTTTCCATGATGACTTGCACAACTTCGATCGCCTTCGGATCACGAGCCAGAAAGGGCAGCGTAATAAAACTGAGATGCGATGAACAAGTTTCGTAGGGGCATATAGAGACGACTTACGACCGGAAGAATGAATAATCAGACCATGGAGTGAAGTCAAGGAATTTCCTTCAGGTGGGGTCAGTGTAACTTCTCGAAAGACATAGTATGTGCATACAGCAGGGAGAATAGATCCTCCAGCCTATTCACAATGGGCGTGCCTGTGAAGGGTATGAGTCGATCGGTACTCGGAAACATCAGTGCGGCATACCCGTCACAGCCCAGCGCCGTCTAGCCTTGAGAGCATATACGGCACGGGCTGTCTTGCTCTGACGAGATTTACAGTGGTGGGCTTCGTCCAGGATAACCCGCAACCACTCCGCTAAGGTACAACTCAGTGCCACCAGAGTCCAGCAGAGCAGAAGGCACAGCTTACTTTGGAACACCGGGGATGCCTTCGACATCTTCTCCGACTTGGCATGCTCCGATGCCAGTACACCGTAAGAAGTGATAACGACGTCTGCCGCTCCGTCGCCGTCCAAGGCTGCCTCAATATCGAGACGATTCTGGCCATGCCAGACCAAGACCTTGAGAGCGCCAGGCTTGCTCGAGCGTGTCAATTCATTAGCCCACTGAGACAGCAGCGAAGTCGGCGCTACAATCAATGTACTCTTGATGGCGGCAGTCTGGGAACGCCCCTTATCCGCAGCTCGAAAAGCGCTGTTAAGCTTCAACTGCCGTCGTTTAGCCGGTTGCTCGTCGGCCTCTTTAGCCGCTTCTGGTTCTCGGTTTGTTTGTATCAGTGCGGACAACATAATTGTTTTCCCCATGCCCACTGGAAAAGGACACGATTATGTCTGAACCGTAGGGGAAGCTGAGACTGCTTACTTTCTAGAGGTCACCGATATCAGCAAGATACGGTCAACGGGCATATAAACCAGACAATGCACGCCTCACCGTCTCTGGAGGGTCCCTGTTAGTACTGTGTAATCTCCAGTCGGCAGCAGCGGACTCACGCAAGAATCCCTCCCCTACACTTCCGTTCAGCTGTAGGAAATTGAAGACTCAATTCGCCTGAATAGGGATTGAAGTAGAAGGGCTGTTCGTCGGCTGTTAGGTCGATGATACCGCTGTCGTTGGGTTCGTCCGGAAATGCGTATCTGACAGAGCCATGCAAATTACAGAGGCACCAGAAGACTGTTAGAAACCGGACGCACTCGTTCCACAGAGGATGAAGAGAAGTCAACTCTCGAGCATTACTAGAACCGGTTTCCAGGGAGTACATCCATCTATCACTGGTCAACAATGTCAACGAAGCCGGAGATGCGTAGCATACCTGAGTGCTTGCTTCTGATATCCTCGGAGGGTCAATGCAAAGGTCTCTGCAGGCTCCATCTGTCCCATTGTCTGATCGTTCTTCTGTGCTCTGACACTCTCGATCAATACTATCCATAGCTTAATAGGCTGGGATGGACTGCTACCTACCTATTGTAGATGACGTTTAACTGGTCCTCCGATAGTTCTTCTTCATCTCCTTCCACTTCTATCTCCTCACCGTCTCCGACTATCTCTACTCTCTTCGGTTTACTAGGACGAGCGTTGCCTCCAGGACGTTGAGACGCTTGCTTTAGATCCGAGTCGCTCAAGGAGGCTTCGACATGCTTCCCCGTACTGCGGCCGGCATTCCCTCTTCGAGGTCTGAGGCCTATTGCATCAAACAGTCGGAGGAGTGCGGTCTTTCGCTCTCGCAGTGACTGCTCATCCTGATATTCTTGACCTTCGTTGAGCATTGCTTTGACAGGCTCCCTGGAGGATATACTAGGCGCCTGGAACGCCGAAGCGCGCATGTACACGGATAGCGATATAATGAGATCTGCTCCAGAATGGAGATTTGCAGGGCAGTCTATCATGGTACTGCCGCGGAAATTCACAATGCCCAGGTCCAGGAGGGTGGAGACCCAGGAAGCCACATCCTGCGGAAGGCGACCGAACTCTGAGCAGATGGTGAATGCTGAGTAACACGACGCAGATAGTAAGCTTACCAAAGCCACCCTTGTTGGTTAACCTTACTACAGACCCGTTGCTTTTCTTCTTCGCTTTCAATGGCTGGGCTTTAAGTAGCGTGGCAATAGAGAGTTGCTTCTGTTTGCCTTTCGTCTCCGGAGCTTTACCCTTCCCATTAGGCTTGGCAGATCCTTTGGATGGTTTAGTATCTGGTTCATCCTGGACATCTCTTTCGAGGCAGATCTCGTCTCCTGGCTTGACGTAGCCTTTCCCTCTAACCGTGCTCCAGGCATTGCCTACCAGGAAAGAGCCTAGGTACGCAGCTTCGAACGCAGCAGCAGGAGGTAAAGGAGCTTCGTTGGATAACCTACGCTTCTTTCCCGCATCCTTCTTGGGACCATATGCAGGTGGAGGAGAAGATGTAGCAGGTGTTGTAGGGTGGGACATACTGGTCACGCTCGATGATCTTGGTACTTCGGGTTCCAACAGCATGATATCTCGGTCAGCAGAGGAGTCCATGGAAGGCTGAGCAGTCAGGTCCAAGCGGTCTCCATTCTCATAATCCGCCACCTCCTGGAGAGCGTCTTCGTCATCGCTGTCGGCGAGGAACAAACCCACGGGCGACTGCGGCTTCTCCATATCTGCTACTGTTTCCTTGACTCCCTCCGTAGTACTCTCAGAGGCCATCGGCTCATCTTCGTCGTCCGAGACAGCAAAAAACAAGGATCTTTCTGAAGTCATCAGAGAAGAGGCAGCCTGGCCCTCAGTGGAGAAAAGAAATGGATCCGAGTCCGCGGCACATTCGACGCGTCGCGTCGCGTCCTAAGCCGGGATCCACAAGGGTCAATAAGCACAAATAAATACCCTAATCGGGCTTCGTCAAAAGTAACTTGTCTGCGCGTCCGAACGCTCATCCATCGTAAGCTAAGATGCAGCGTGGCCTTCCTATGGTATGTCCCCAGGGTTGTTGTATTGGCGTACGTATTGATTAGCTCTTTTGCCTTGTCTAGCAACCGACCGTAGTCCTCCTGAAGGAGGGCACGGACACGTCCCAAGGAACACCCCAGTTGCTGTCCAACATCTCTGCATGTCTCGCTGTTGCCGAGACATTATCCAGTA